CAGAGCCTTGGGACCCTGTGCCTGAGTGGGAGACCTGCAAGAAGCTCCTGGCTCCTGGCTTCAGATCAGCTCAGCTCTGGCCATTGTGGCCATTTCTACCAGCAGGTGGAAGAATTTTCTCTCTGTTTCTCCTTTTCTCTGCAAATCTGCCTTTCCAATAATAATAATAAAAAAGAACCAAGCAAACAAATAAATAAATAACTGGGCTGAAGAACTCATTCCAGGAAAAGTCTATCTTAAAGATCCTTATAATGAGGGCCCAGTGCAACAGCCTAGTGGCTACAGTCCTCACCTTGCATGCGCCAGGATCCTATGTGGGCGCCATTTCTTGTCCCAACTGCTCCACTTCCCAACCAGCTCGCTGCTTGTTGCCTGGAAAGGCAGCCGAGGATGGCCCAAAGCCTTGGGATCCTGCACCTGCGTGGGAGACGAGAAGAAGCTCCTGGCTCCTGGCTTCAGAGTGGCTCAGTTCTGGCCATTGTGGCCAGTTGGGGAGTGAACCAGCTGATGGAAGATCTTTGTTTCTCCTCTCTGGAAATCTGACTTTTCAATTAAAAAAAAATCTTAAAAAAATCCTTAGAATGAGCTAATTTGGTCTGCATTTTTGTATACTTGGTGTCTTTTAGCTAGGGACAACTTGATGTATACACAGCATGTGTTATATACTCCCCAGGGAAAGTTATCTACCACGGTCTACACCATACACTCGCATATACTGTACACGAACTAACCACTTCAGGGCTCAGGAGATCCAGCAATTATAAGATGATATTTAGCTTCTATGCTGTTGACAACTTCAATTGCAGCCGAAGAGCTAGAACAAAGCATTATAATTAGAATCCAGAGACAGAACTCACGTCATCCTGCTGTGCCAAGACAGAGCCCCCAGCGGAGTGACTCAGCCACCGGATTTCTCCCATTGGTTCCCCACTCTTTAGTAATAACATTTTTACTGAAAGAAAAAGACTCTTAAAAGATTAATTTATTTTTATTGGAAAGATTTACAGAGAGGAGAGTTAGGGAGGAAGATCTTGCACCTGCTGCTTCACTCCCCAACTGGCCACAATGACCAGAGCTGAGCTGGTCTGAAGCCAGGAGCCTGGAGCTTCTTCCAGATCTCCCATGTGGGTGCAGGATCCTTGACTACTTTGGGCTGTCCTCGACTGCTTTCCCAGGCCACAAGCAGGGAGCTGGATGGGAAGCGGAGCTGCCAGTACACAAACTGGAGCCACATGGGATCCTGGTGCATGCAAAGTGAGGACTGTAGCCACTAGGCTATTACACTGGGCCTGAAAGGAAATAGTTTAAAATAGGCAAGATTTAGAAGGTGCCAACTCCAGTCATTAACAGATAGCTCTACAACTTTTCCTAAGAATTTCCCTCCTGTGGAGTTGGTTGTTGTGAAGATTTCTTCTATTTATTGAATGACAGAATTAGCGAGAGGGTCAACGATCTGCTGGTTCACTTCTCAAATGGTGGCAGAGCAGCTGGGATTTGAACTGGCACTCTCTCATGGAATGCTGATGTTGTGAGCTGTGGTTTAGCCTATTGTGCCATGTTGCCACTCCTCTCTATCATTCCCTCCAAGGAGCCTTTTGGGCTCAGATGGAGCAGACTGCAGAGGCCCAGTGGCAACCTAGGTAGGTTCCCAGTGTGTGTAGTAAAAGCTTATCACAGGCCTGGCACGGTATCCTAGTGGCTGCAGTCCTCGTCTTGCATATGCCGGGTTCACATATGGGGACCAGTTCGTGTCCTGGCTGCTCCACTTCCCATCCAACTCCCTGCTTGTGGCCTGTCTTTGAAGATAATTGCGCAAAGATTGGAGATGGTACGCAGTTTGTCATTTCCTTTATTTTCTTAAAATTATTTATTTGAAAGGCAAAGTTACTTAGATTAAAAGAGAAGGAGATCTTCCATCCACTGGTCCACTCCCCAAACATTTGCAATGGCCAGGGCTAGGCCAGGTTGAAACTGGGAGCCCAGAATGCCACCCAGATCTCCCATAGGAGTGCCAAAGGCACAACCACTCATGCCATCTCCTGTTGGACCATGCTGGGGGTGCTGGTCTCACTCTGGCCATCTCATTTCAACACTTTTTCTGCCTTTTCTCCTCCCTTCCTTGGCCCTCTGTATTTTCCCTCCCAGTGCTCGTTACCACTTGACACACTTGTGGGATCCCCAGGAGACCGTAAGGGTCCTGTGCTGTGCTCTGTCCCCGGTGCCTGGAACAGATGCTGCACAGAGGAACATGGAGGGCTTCTTTGTTGGGTGAGTGAAGTCGTGGGTAAGACAGGAAGGCAGACCTTGGGCCTTGGACAGGACGTGGTAGCTCCTGAGTGGTCGCTGTTACCAGGGACAGGAGCAAGAGTGGCAGCTGACATCGGAGGAATAGCTGCTGGGAGTCAGCTGCAGTAGGATCATATTTTGATAGCTTTGTTTGTCCTGTGTCTGGTGTTCAATCACCCTGGGCCTCATCACCCCATCTGGCAAGTGGGAATCATATGGACCTCTTGAAGTTACAGCGAGGATTAAAGGAAGCTGTGTAAGAGAAAGCCTCCAGCATTCTAGTCCATTCACAACAGCTAAGTGGAGACCCCACATGAGCCTGCAACCCTCTCAAAATGAGCTTTGGGCCATCCTCCACTGCTTTCCCAGGCCACAAGCAGGGAAAGCATAGGAGGGAAGTGGAGCAGTCAGGATATGAACCAGTGTCCATCTGGAATCCCAGTGCATCTAAGGTGAGGATTTAGCCACTGAGCCATTATGCAAGGCCCAAAGTATCCTCTTAGAACACAAAGTAAGCCAGCTTATTTTTAAAATAAATAAATATTTATTTATTTATTTACTTACTTAGAGTTTGAAAGTGAGTGTTAAAGACGCCAACGCTGATTCACTCCCTACGTGGCTGCAACAGCCAGGGCTGGGCCAGGCTGAAACTAGGAAGAGGAGTTCCATTCAGGTCTCCGACTAAGTACAGAGGCCCAAGTACTTGAGTTGTCTTCCACTGCTCTCCCAGGCACATCAGCAAGGAGCTGGGTTAAAAGTGGGGCAACTGGGACAAGAACCGGCACCAAGGTATGACAGCAGGCACCGCAGGCGGTGGCTTAACCCATGCTGCCACAACACAGAGAGGTTAGAGACAGAGAAGGGACAAGCTGGAGGTGAAGGCTGAGGAGGGGGCTTGGGAGGCAGTCTTGAGTCACGGACCTCTTTGCTCTGGGCCCCTGCTCTGCCCCATGACCCAATTCTAGGGGAGCAAGCTCAGGGACTCAGATTTCCATCACCAATCCTGGGGGCCCCAGATGTGCTCCTGTACCTCTCTCTTCACACACAGCCCCAAGAGGAACAACCCAGAACCAGAGAACAAAGCAGGGGCAGGCCTGAGGTGCTGCAGGGGCAGAAGGCCTGGGAGCTGGGGGTCACAGAGCAACAAGGGGCTAGCCTTGGCTCTGGGCTCCTCTGAGCGTTCACCCCGTGCTCTCGGGCCCCAATTTCTCTGTCTCTAAATGGGGTAACCAGAGGGTCAGCCAAGCTTTTAAGTGTTCACTCCTGTTGCAGGCACATAGAAATCTCTCCGGACTGTCTCAAGGCTGCTCTCGTTCTAACCGCCACCACTATCACGTCATGAAGGACACAGAGACCAAAAAACTCCGCAGAGGAGAGTCAGGGATGGTGTTTACATGGGGAGAAGGGCTGGATGTGCAACTGGGGTGCGGGTGTTGGGGTGGAGGGGAAGGCAGAGACTGACTGAGAGACATTGAGAAAGACCGATGGAAACTGCCCCTCCCCAGCCGAGTGATGAATGCCGGTGATACAGGGTGGGGCCAGGTGGGAAGGCCCAGCGAGCAGAAGCAGCCACGCTGGCCCAGCAGGGAAGAAACCCAGGGAGGATCCCAAGGGGGGATTCGGGGAGAGGGTCACTGGCTCCAGCTGACTCTTGACCTCATGTCCATCCCTCCTCTCCTGCCAGGGCTGCTCTGGCCCCTGGGAGAGACTGGAGGTGGCAGTGGGGGAGCTGGTGCAGTCCCACCCCTCAGGGGCGGCTAGCTATGAGCTCATCCTGGGCACAGTCCCCCTCCAAGGCCGGGTAAACAGGATGAAAGCCTGGGTCAGCCGCTCCCTCTCCTGGCCTTTTCCTCCCACTTGTTCCCTGGGGGCAGAGGGCCTGCCCAGCTCCCAGGCTCCCGCCCAGCCTTCCCTGGCCACAGCAGCCTGAATACTACCTGTTGCAGTCTCGGGGTTGGGGTCAGATCCTTGCCAGGTACCTCAGGTTCTCTTGGAGGACCTGCTTGGGATGCTCAGAGCCTTAAGTGTGACCCCTCTCTCTGCAGACTGGCAGGTATTGGGAGCAAGAGGGCAGAGTCCCCTTTAGGAGGTTGTATGGGAAGGGAGAGGTAAAGGCCTTCCGGGGACAGGCCTGTGTCAGGCACCTGTCATGCAGGCCTGTGCCTAGCTGTGTCCTGCTTTTCTGAGCTTCTCTATCCACATGTCTCTGGGGGGTCAGGGTAGTCCTGGGATTCCTCTCTTGTGTGTTCCAGCCCCACCTCCAGCAGACATCCACAACCTCAGATGCTCCATCCCCACCCTGCGCCCCAAATTCCTGGGGTTAGGCAATGGAGAGCCCTTTGCACATCCCAGTCCCCCTCCCTGCCTGGTACATGGGCTCCCCCTCTCTCTTTCTGTTTCAACACAGACGGAAAGACTCACAATTACAGCTCATTATCCTATCGGGAACTGGCCCTGAGTCACGGGGAGGAACCCAGGGCTGCCCATCCCTGTCACCTTCTTCTAAGCACAGTATAAGGAGTAGTGGCCAGTAGGTGGACTCTGGGCAGGCTGGGGAGTCTGGGGAGGGAGACAGAAGGCTGCAAAACTAGAGGGAGGGAAAGAAGCAGTTGAAAGGAGAGAACCGCGGAGGGCACGCATAGGAAGAGAAAGGACAAGACGGAGAGTTGGGTGGGAAGAAGCCAGGCAGAAGAGAAGGAGGGAGCAAGCTAACAATGAAGCTACAGGGGTCTCTGACCTGCCTCCTGCTGGCCCTGTGCCTGGGCAGTGGGGAGGCTGGTCCATTGCCAAACGGAGAGGAGAGTGGTGGCGCAGGTGCCATCAGACAAGGAATCGGGGAGGCTGTGGGCCATGGGGCTGGAGAGGCGGCCAGCACTGGAACGAAGGAGGCCCTCGGCCAAGAGGGTGGCAGTGCCGCTAGGGGCCCTGGCTTAGGGGATGCTTTCAGCTACAAGGTCGGGGAAGCAGCAGGGGATCTCGGAAGGTCTGTGGGTGAGGCTGGCAGACAGGCTGAGAACATCGTCCGGCAAGGAATAGATGCCATACGCAGTTCCGGTTCCTGGGTGAGTCTCTGGGAGGCCAGGTGTGGAAACTGCAGTGGGGAGGAGGCTGCAAGTAAAGCGTCGGCCTGTGGTGGGTGCCGGTTTGAATCCTGGCTGCTTTGCTTTGGAAATGTGCCTGGGAAAGCAATGGGGGATGCCCGAGTGCTTGGGCCCCTGGACCCATGGGGCAGATGTGGAAGGAGCTCCTGGCTGGAGCCTAACCCAGTCCTGGCTGTTGTAGCCATCTGGGGAGGGAACCAGTGGATAGAAGATTTCTCTGTCCACCTCTCTGTAACTCTGCCTCTCCAAATAAATTAATAAAAGGGAGGGGAGGGAGATGTGGGGAGCCTGGCTGAGACTCTTGGGGACCAGTTGCAAGGATGAAGGATGGAAGGCTCCTTGCTGCTCTCTGAGGCAGCTGCCTCTGTGTTGCATGCCTCAACATACTGCTCACAGTTTTTCTATTGTGCCCCTGTCTCGCTCTGGCCCCTTATGGCTGTGCTGTCTGCCCTCTGCACCATGGGTCAGGGATAGGTCCATTGCCAAACAGAGAGGACCTGCCCTAAATGCAGGTGCGTTGCTTTGGCAGGGATCGTCGGGTGGCCATGGTGTCTCAGGCCTGGAAAGCTACAGCCGAGGCCATGCTGGAGGACCAGGAACCCCCTGGGACCAAGGCTACCCAGGAGGCTCAGAAGGCAACTCTGGCACCAACTCTCTGCAAGGCTCCTGGGGTCCTGGGGCCAATGGGGTGCCATCCAACTTTGGGACGGATCCTCAGGTAAGGTTAACCAGCCCGGCCTGATCCCTAGCACCTGCCTCCCTCAAGCCCATGCTCTCCTCCCTGTCTCCCTTCCTTACCTTTCTAGATCCTACATCCATTGTCATTCTCTCTCTCCCCCTGCAGGGAGCAGTGGCCCAGCCTGGCTATGGTTCAGTGAGAGGCAGCAACACAGGGGTAAGAGGGTGAAGAGGGCGTGTGTGTGTGTGTGTGTGTGTGTGTGAGAGAGAGAGAGAGAGAGAGAGAGAGAAAATGGGGCGAGACTCAGGGGAAAGAAAGATGAGGCAGGGAGAGATGGGAGTAAGGTGAAGAATGCCAGGAAGACAGCCATAGAGAGGAGGCTGGTGGCAAGGAGGAAGGTGAGAGGGGAGGAAGGCAGGCAGGCTGCAGGATCAGGAGCCTCCTGCTGGAAGCTCACCCATCCCTTCTCCTCCACAGTGCACCAACGCCCCGCCCTCTGGTGCAGGTGGAGGTTCCAGTAACCCTGGGGTAAGAAGGGAGGGGGCAGAAGCAGGTCCCCTGCGACTGGGCTGAAAGGGAGGTGTGGGGACGGGGTGGGGGGGTTGGGAGGGATGAGCAATCCCGTGTTCCTGTCTTTGATCTATGCACATTCTTTTCCTGCCCCTCAGGGAAGCAGCAGCCACGGCAGCAGCAGCAGCAGCCACAGCGGTGGTAGTAGCAGTGGTAGTGGCAGCCATGGTGGGGGTAGCAACGGCGGCAGCAGCCATGGTGACAGCAATGGCTATGGCAGCAGCAGCAGCAGTTCTGGGGTCAGCAGGGTGAGTTTTGCTCCTTGATTGATGGCAGAGGTGGGGTGAGGACCCTGGTGGTCCCTGATGGGCTCAGGGGTTCCCTGGTGTCACTGGAGGCTGATACCTGGGGCTCCCTCAGCCCCAGACAGCACAGCCTCTGCCCCGTATGCTCCCATTTCCCCCGCAAGAGTTGCCCTGCCTGGCCCTGCTGACTCTACTCCCTTACCTGCTGCCCCATGACGCAAGGGGGAGGAGGGAGTGGGGAGAGGGGGCGTTTCATCTGCTGTCTGAATCTCCTCCTCCAGCAAGACTGAGTGGAGCTGGGGGTGGCAGAGGGAAGAACAGAGTGGGCACAGAAGCCTGGGACACTTGTCCTGGGGCAGGGAGAAGGCAGAATACACAGGGGAGAACTTAAGGGTGGTACCCAAGAGGCTCTGACTAGGTGGGGAGAGGCCCACAGGGGAGCCACACCAGGGTCAATGGCGCCAGGAGAGGAGCTGGGAGCCACCCCTGGCTTTCTGGGGTTGGGAAAGGGATCTTCTGACAATTCAGTCATCACGTTGGTTATGACAAGTTGGTGCAATTCCTGCTCTGGGTTCTACCCCCTTTTCTCCCATCTAGGAACGACCTCTAGAAAGTTCTAGGGATTTGGACCAAAGTTTCTCAGTCTCCAAGGTAAGGATCCAGGAGATCTTGAGCTGGGACTTGGGTGCTGCTGGAGGACGGAGTGGGGCAAGACTCCTCCTGTCCCCCACCTGTCCCCCACCTTCCCCCAACCTGCCCCCTGGTGGTGAGATCCCGACCCACTTGCAGAGGAGTGAGGGTGAGGGTGCCCGTGCCCATTGGCTACTTAGCATTCCCGCACAGGCCTGGGCCTTCTGTGTTCACCATCATTCCCTCAGTGGCTCACCAGCTCAGGGAGGGGAAGGGTGGTGGTGGAGAGTGTGGGGAACCTCAGAGAGTTGCATTTACTGCGTACCTCGGTGGGGGCCTTCTTGGTACTTGGGGTGTGTTCTGTTAGGACAGCCTGTGACGTCTGCATGTCTTTGCAGGGAACCGATGCCAGCCACTCTTCAGGCAGCAGCGGTGGAAGCGGAGGGGGACACAAACCTGAGGTGAGTGGCTATGGGTGCTCCAGCTGCGGCAAGAGGCATGGGCAGAGTCGGGTGGTGGTGGTGGTGGTGGTGGTCTCTGCTAGGCGCTAACACCGAGTGCTGGTGTGGTGTGTGCTGGCCAGAGGATCAAAAGCCTTCTCTCTCCCCACAGTGTGAAAACCCTGGGAACGATGTCCGAGGGGCTGGAGGATCTGGGGGCCAGGTGAGAGGTTGCCTGTTTGTCATTGCTCCATCTCAGCCTTATCCCTAAGACCCCCTCCCCGACTCCTGCCAATCCAACCCATGAGTGCAACTGTCAAGTTAGCAGGGAAAACAGACAAAAAACAAAACAAAACCCAAAAAACAAATAAACAAAAAAACACAAAACCCTTGAGCATTTACTCCTATAAGGACTAAGAGTCTCCAAAGATGTGATTCTTGGCAGAAGTTCACATCCTGAGCCTGCCTGGAAACCACAGCCGGGGCTGCAGGATGCCCTAAGCGGACCAGACAGTCCTAGGACCACACTTGGTGTCCCACATCTGGCCAAGGGACAGGTTTTAGTGAATTCTGACAATCCCTTCAGTTTTGCTGGAACCCTGGGCTCTCTGCCCACCCCTACGGCTCTGACGTAATGTGACATCGGTGTCCACACTTGTCACCTGTGGGGAAAGTGTGGACTCTGACGGAGCGGCTCTGGGATGGGACCAGCTCCCCGGGTTGGGCACTGGGGGTGGTGCAGCCCACACGATGAGGAGCAAGGCCTGATGGTAAGGGTGGCCCTGGCGGTGAGGAGTCTTCTGCCATTGGGGACACTAGCCTTGCATGGGGGCATAGTTTTTAAGATAGGTTCTTCTGGCACGTAATTCTGTTTCTAGGTTTTTGTATGCCTAGGTAGATAGATGGTAAGAAAAATAATCAGTCATTTTCTCTGTGGCTCCCACTCTTGGTGTTGTTGCTTTAAATGCCTTTATTTTCTACCAGCATTAGACTATTAGGAGTTTCACATTTTCAATACAGCTTTTCTGACTTAGCTGAACTTTAGTTTGCTGGACATGGTCTAGTCCCCCTGCTCGAGCTAACCAGGCTTACCCTACAAAACATGAGAGGGACAATGAGCTATAACTAATATCCTGCCCGCCTCCCGCCACCCCCGTCTCCGAGGAATTAGCCAGGACTCTGGGCCCGGCATCTTGAACCGCTCTCATGATTGATTTAAGATGTTGTTTGGACATGATCTCCTATTCAGAGGACTTCTGTGAGATATGCAGGTGCCACCCTGTTTTATGCACAGAACGGTTAATGTCTCCTGGCACGAGTGCCTTTTTCCTTGTTTTCTGATCTATCTGTGGGGCTTTGATCATACCAAAGGAATCTCGCAGTTTTCTTGACAAATTCCAAAAGGGAATTCCAGTAGGATTTTTAGAGGCATCCTGTCATATTTACACATTCATCTTGGGGGATGGTCCCCGCATCTCAAACAGAAATATGTGTTTCACCATCTCATCACTCCGGGCTCCAGAGGAGGATTAGGAGGGCCCCAGCTCTGGGAACATCAGGGCGGGAGTAGAGACTATGACAGCGGCACATGGGGTGGAGGTTGACTGTGTAGTAACGGTCCCAGCAAAGGCTAGTCAGTTCCAGACCGCCGCTGGTCTCTGCGTGAGCCCTGGGCATACAGAAATGTTAGACAGCCCAGGGTGCCACTGAGGCGGCAGGGGACTCGTCCTTTCCTGCTGATTTCGGGCCCTGGGCAGAGGTGGGTCACTAGAGGGGGTCGCAGACTGTCCATGAGTGGTGACCAATGTGCAGGCGGCTGTAACAAGCACTGCCCCAGGGGACCTTGTTCGCAGGGGCTGTCCGGGTCCCCATATCCCTCACCTGTGTGCTGCTGTGCTCCCTGCTGACCCTGGCCTCCTTCTTCTGTCTCCCCAGGGAAGCAGAGAGAGCAGTCACCTCCTTGGGGGCTCCCAGAGCAGCAGCCATCAGGTGAGCTGGGAGAGGCAGGGCTGGTATCGCGAGAGGGTCTGGAGGAAGCAAAAGCCGTTTCTCCTTGCAGGGTGTCCTGGGATCACTGGGAAACCACGGTGGGAATCTGGGATCTCTGTTCCCTTCTTATTCATTCCCTCCCTTCATAGGAAAACTGGCTGAGGGATGTTTTTAAAAACTGTATTTTATATATATATGTATTTTATATATATTATATATATTATATATATGTATTATATATATATATAAAATACAGTTATAATATATATATAATACATATAATATATATATAAAGGTTTATTTATTTTTATTGAAAGGCAGATTTTTACAGAGAAGGAGAGACAGAGAAAGGTATTCCACCTGCTGGTTCACTCTCCAGGTGTCCCTAATGGCCAGTGCTGAGCCAATCTGAAGCCCGGAGCCAGGAGCTTCTTCTGGGTCTATGTGGTTGCAGGGTCCCAAGGCTTTGGGCCATTCTCTACATTTCCCAGGCCACAAGCAGGGAGCTGGGTGGGAAGTGGAGCATCCAGGACATAAACTCCATCTGTGTCTCCCACATGGGTGTCAAGGGTCCAGGTCCTTGGACCATCTTCCGCTGCCTTCCCAGGCACATGAGAAACAGAACAGCTGGGACTTGAACTGATGATGCTCTGGTATAGGCTGCTAACAGTGGCAAGCAGTGGCTTATCCCACTGTACCACAACCCAGACCCTAACAACCTTATTTTTAAGAAGACAAAACATCGGCTCTGTGACTTGTCATCTGTGTCAACCTCTTGACCTTTATCTTCCCGGGTGAAAATGGGATGTGAAGTGTGACTTGGTCCTCTCCCACACTTGCTGTAGAGCTTTCTATATTCCAACCATGCTGAGGAGGTGCAGAATGCAGGTGCTGGCGCCAGCTGTGGGCTACCTGCCTCCTAGCTCCATTTTCCTCATCTGCAGTGGGGAGTCCTCCCACAGAGGAATAAGGCAGGAGACGCACAGAGGCTGGCGCTGCTCTCACTATCAGTGATTTTTTGGGGTTAGGAGAAGATGGAGGCAAGAAGATGAACACAATTCCGTGGTTGGGTTGGGCCTCCTGGCAGCCAGTCCCTCTGGCATGGCTCTTGGAGGTGGGAGCTGGGTGCTGGCCATAGAAGGCAGGTGGCCTTCCAGAGCAGGACCCAGGTGCTTGAGCCAAAGCACAGGCTGACAGGTGGCTGGCAGGACAGGATGGGCAAGCCGTGGACACTGAGCCCTTTCTCTCCCCCAGGGGCAAGGGTCTGACGGAGACAGCCACAGCCAAGGTGATGCCGTGAATGGACTCAACAACGTGGTGAGTTGGGGTCGCCTCACTCCTCCTGCTAGGCCTCTTGCCCCACCCAGGGGTGGGAACTCCTGGCTTGCAGGGTGGGAACCCTGGCTCGTGGGGTGGGAACCCTGGCTCGTGGGGTGGGAACCCTGGCTTGTGGGGTGGGAGCCCCTGGCTCATGGGGTGGGAACCCTGGCTCATGGGGTGGGAACCCTGGCTTGTGGGGTGGGAACCCTGGCTCATGGGGTGGGAGCCCCTGGCTCATGGGGTGGGAACCCTGGCTCGTGGGGTGGGAACCCTGGCTCGTGGGGTGGGAACCCTGGCTCGTGGGGTGGGAACCCTGGCTCGTGGGGTGGGAACCCTGGCTCGTGGGGTGGGAACCCTGGCTCATGGGGTGCGTGTACATCTCATCCTGTGATCCCTTGGTTCCCTAGCACTCTCCTCAGACAGCTCCTGAGCTCTTCAACTTTGACACTTTCTGGAAGGTGAGTTTTTTGGGGACCACCCTGCTCATTCTGTCCCTGTAGCCTCATGGGCTACCATCCTGTTTCTTTTCTTTTCAAAATAATTTTTAGAGCACAAATTATTTATTTGTGAGGCACGTACACACACACACACACACACCCCACATATAGAATTTCCATCTACTGCTTTACTGCCCAAATGCCTGCAATAGCCAGCGCTATAAACTAGGAATTCAATCCAGATCTCTTCCTGGGTGACAGGAACCCAACTAACTTGACCTGTCACCCCTGTGCTGGCAGGAAGCTAGAGTTGGGAGCCGGAGCTGGGATCAAACCCAGGAGTTCCAATAAGGGACGCAGGTGTCTTTCTATACCAACAGTCAATAGTGGCCCTGTATCTCTGTTGGCTCAAGACCCTGAGCTAACTACATGAGGATTCCATTTGGCCCTTGTTTTCCTTTGCAGAACTTTAAATCCAAGCTGGGTTTCATTAACTGGGATGCCATAAACAAGGTAAGGGCTGGAAGGCCGTGTATCCCCAACCTCGCGTAATCCCAAGTGGGAGGGAAGGGGCTGTGGCAAGCAGCTAACCTTTGCTGCCATTAACAACAAAAACCAGCAAAACCCTCAAGAGGGGTGGAGTGGGGAGGGGGACAAGTAGATATGTGAAAAGAGGGAGAATTTGGAAACAGTTGGGAGTTGGGGAGCGGCAAGCAGAAGGAGGGGGAAGGGTCCCTATATTGCCTCAATGTAGACAGCTGATGGGTTCTTGGTCTCCCAGGTTCCATCCAGCTTGGTAGGTCCAGAGAGCAGGGAAAATGCAACAACCATTTGCTAAGGGCTGGGAGGTGGATGGGCACGAGTCTGTCCCTTTCCGTCCACCCAGAATCTGTGCGGGAGACCCTTAGCCAGGCTCACGGACACCAGAATGATGGCTGCACGTGCAGGGTCAGGGCTGGACTGGAAAGGAGGGATGAGGACAGAAGATCTAGTGAAGTCCCGAGGTGGAGCCGCCTGCCCACGGCTGTGCTGTGTTGGAGTCCTCTCTCTCTCTCTCTCAAGAGTATGAATTAATTACTGAATTTAAAAACTTGAGAGACTTCACATCATACCCTGGACTTCTGATTTCTTTAGAAAATTCTGGCACTCTCAGGCCCGGCTTTCTGCAGGTGTTACAGGCACTAGCTGAGGGCAGCTGCATCCCGCCCCGGGTGCTTGCCCTCCAGTGGCCAGCCACCCCTGCCCCTCCACAGGTGTTTTAGCTACTAACTGGCCCCTTGGGAGCAGCAGAGGGGCTGACACTTCCTGTGAAAGTATACAGACTGGGGTCCTTGCCCTGCAAGATCCTGTGGTCTGTGTGGGAGAAGACCAGTGGCTGAGGTGGGAAGCAGTGGGGCAGCAGAGCCCTAACTGCAGGAAAATCCAAGACTGGCTGTTTGGGAATGAGAGGAGGATGTGGAAGGTTCCATAGGGCAGTGGATTTTTGGTTCGAATGATGACAGAACTATTTCCTAGAAGATGGCTTCTGATAGGAGCGAGACTCCTAGCTGCCCCAAGCTGGGGCAGCCAATCCCTTCATTCTTACCCATCTAGGGGGCAGCAAAGGGAGCGATCAGATGTAGGATTCACATGGGCCAGCTTGCTGCAGTGCCAAGATGGGAGGGTAGGGAATACAGTGGTGAGGGAGCTAATGCCTTCTGCTGACTCAGCAGTGGGCAGGGGCCTCGGGTGCTGCGGTGGGGTAGGAGTTGGGGGCGGTAATGGGGGAGGTTCTTGAGCCTCAGCCCGGACATCAGCATCTGTGTGGATGAGAGTGGTGGGGAGAGAAGTCTTGGTGATTTCTGGAGCATGTGTCTGCACGACGCTGACTTTGACGTTGTACTGCCCTCAACTCACGCTCCTCCGGCTGCCTCTTAGAACCTATTTCTTTGCCCAGGATCAGAGGAGCTTTCGCATCCCGTGAACTCCAGACAAGGAGCTACCAGATGGATGAGAGTTCCCCACTCCCTTCTTAGAGCATCACTCTCACCATCAACCTCAACCCTTGCCCTTTAAATAAACCTTAGCTGGCCCTGACTCTGGTCTCTGCTCCTTTCTTACGTCTCAGTGTTGTTCTGGGAGGTGGGTGGGGGCAGGTGGCTTCAGTCCCACAGCTTGGGAGACAGGATGGAGGTGGCGTAGCAGGTGGAAAATTGGAGAAGCTCTGGGGCCAGGGCCAGGTCTGAGGTTTTGCTACAGTTACATTTTGCAAGAAGCAGTTGGCAACAGGAGAGAGAGAGAGAAAAACTCTATTCTCACATGTGCTGGGGCAGGGCAGCTGGCCACGGCTCAGAGATCTAGCCCTTCTCTCCATCGACCCACGCAGTTTTCAGGTGTCCCTAGTTCTCCCAACTTCCATCTTTACACCCCTTTCCTCTCAACCCCGAGTTACCGTAAAATCCCAAAGGCTGAGACAAAGCAGCAGGAGCCAGGGCTAACCCGCTCCCCAACTTTCATCCACAGGGCCAAGTCCCGCCCCCCAGCACTCGGGCCCTCCTCTACTTCCGGCGACTCTGGGAGGTAGGAGAAACCCTTGCTTCTTGAAGACACGGAAGTGCCCCATTCTGCTGTCCCCACCCAGGCCTCCGTCAAGACAGCCACACTGGGCTCCAGCACCCCACCCCCTAGCCCATCACAAATTCTCTCTTGGCATTTTTGGGTCACATAATCTTCCCTTAGATTTTATCACTGAAGATACCAGATACCAGCACAAATTCTGCTGACTTTAACCTCTCGTGGGCTTATCTTCACACCACACCCAGCCCTAGTGCCAGAGCCAGACCCACTTGCTGGAATCTGGAAAGCTTCCCAGCATGCTGCCACTTAATGCCCCATGGTGGGCGGGTTTTGGCTTCCTGGGCCCACTCTTCCTTCTCTCCCTCTCCCCTCAGGATTTCAAACACAACACCCCTTTCCTCAACTGGAAAGAAATTATCAAGGTAAGAGAGTGGGCAGCACTTCTCATTTTGGGGAGCTGGGAGTTCCAGCTCCTGGGCTGGCAGCTGGCTGACTTTTGCAGCCAGTTTCTGCCCCTCCCTGCAGAGGGAGGTGCCTGCCTCCCTTCCACTGCCCTGGCTTTATGCAACCCCCAGCAGAGGTGGGGTGGGAGCAAGAAACTCTGAGTCATGAAGAAGGAATAGAGTGGGAGGTCTGTCCTGAGATAAAAGCCGGGGGCCGGAGGTTTGGGGCCTCCACAGGCACTGAAGCATGAAGCTGACCGCCGTCTCCGCTATGCTGCTGTTCCTGCTGGGCTTGGCCTGGCTTGGGGGGAGCCACAGCTGGGTGGGTACTGCAGGGTGAATAGGTGGGGGACCAGGAGGTGCGGGGGTCAGGGTCAACTCAAAGGTGCTGGGAGGGAGTTGTGACGGAGGAAAGCTGAAAGGAAACAGGAGGGCAGCAGGTGGAGGGGGTAGGTCATGGTCAAATACGAGCAGGTGCCAAGGGTCTAGAAAGGACGGGCAGGTCCTCTGGGTCCTGCAGAGGACCACACTACACTCTGCATGGACAGTGGCTTGGGGCAGCAGAATGCCTGGACACCAATTGAGGCTCCCGAGGCTAGGCAGCGAGTACCATGCAAGATGTAGATCAAGGCCCTCCAGGTGAGTCTGTACCTGCATGTGTAGGTCCTGTGCTGCTATGGAATACTGACTTTTCAAAAAAAAAAAAAAAGCTACAAGTCTTATTTTTATTTTTAATTGCTCATAACCGACTTACTTAAAAAATGTCTGGAAGCCTGTGGATACTCAGTTTGTGACCTCAGTATTGAGGCCAATGGTGAAGTTAAGGCTCAGGGTTGCATGTGGATAGGAAGAGAGTTAAGTCAGAGTAGGACTTAACTTTCAGACTGTATGTGTGTGGCGGGGAGTAGAGGCATGGGTGAATGGGGTGGTGCCAACAGAGCAGCGGTGACGGCAGGAACTGGCCTTCTTTGCTCACCTGGGTAGGGTGTGCTGAGAGCGCCTGCGGAGTGCCTTCTGTGGCTGGCTGCTTCCTCCTGTGCCTGCTCGTTCTTTCCCTGATCTGACCCACAGCTGGGCTGATGGCTTCGCTCCTGTAGCAAAGGGTCCAGCCTTCCCACGACTGGAGAACGGCAGTTGTGCACAGGTGTCCAGTCTGTGGGGGCGTGGCAGCAAAAGTGTAGGCAAAGTGGGGTTGGGGTGCTTGGGGTGCAAGGGAGCTGTGTGGGTTTTACTGGTTCTATCTAGTGTGGACTCAGGCCAGTGTTGTAGGTAGATGGGGTGGGGTGCTGTTGCCTCACCCCATTCTCTGCTCTCGTTCCCCAGCCCTGAGTGTGGAAATGTGTGTTCTCCATCTTTCTGGGCCATCACTTTCCTCCAGGCTCCAGACACTCAGCATGCACCACTGAGAAGGGTGGGGCAGGGTGTGTGTGTGTGGGTGATCCTGGGGGATGGCTGCAAAGCAGGACAGCCTGGGCAGGGGCAGGCTGGCCAGGCCTGGAGCACCACAATGCAGGGCAGAGCCTGGACAGGGGCAGGCTGGCCAGGAGGCCTGGAGTGCCACGGTGACACTACTCATGGTTGCTTTCTGCCGTTCAGGGTGCAGATGTGTCATCATTGCAGAAGAGGGCAGGTGGCGCTGACCCGGTGAGTCTTGCTGCCCTGAGTGTTCCTCTCCATCGTCCCGCACCCCAGGGTGGGGGGCCCTTGGTGCCTGGGCTCACCCGGCTGAAAGCCTCTTTCCTACCCTCCCATCCCATAGTTCCCTCAGTTTGGCACAGAGAGGCCAGCTGTGACTCTCCACTATCAGCCACCTGAGCCCAGGAGGGAGACTCTAGTTCTTTCCTGGGTCTCCTATCCTCACTGCCCAAATAACACTTGAGTTGGTGGGGAGGGAGGGGGGATGGTCCCCAGGGGAGGAGGAAGCAGCAGGCCATTTGGGCTGGACAGTCAGAGGTGGTGAGCAGGTGGGCTCGGCCGGCTGGAGGAGAGCTGGTCAAGAAAGTCACATGTGGACACAGGCAGGGGAAGCATTGAGAAACATCTGACTTGGGCAGGGACCTGGGGTGTTTATTCCAGAACAAATGCCTTCCTCCCTCTCTTTCCCCCTCATCACCACTGCCCCACTCTCTCTTTGTCTCTCAGAACTACAGTTATAACCAGCAGGCATATCCTACCGCCTATGGTCCACAGTACCCACCCAAGACGCCTGCAAAGGTAAGACTGGTGGCTGACCTGCTTTCCCACGGGGGTCTCTGCCTGAGAGAGAAAGAGAAAGGTGCTTTCTGTCAGGGTCCTCTGTTGGTTAGCCAAGCCTACGCTCTATTCACCTGGAAAGTCAGAATTCCTACGCCTTTTAAATTACAGAGAGAGAGAGAGAGAGAGAGAATCTATGTTCTGATTCACTCCCCGAATGGCTGCCGTAGCTGGGGCTGGACCAGGCTGAAGCCAGCAGCCAAAACTCCATCCGGGTCTTCCACGTGGACAGCCTAAGGCCCTCCAGGGGTTGGGAACCCAACACGGAGACAGGATTCAAACCCAGGCATTTGGTATGGGACACCTCAGATGGTGTCTTCTGCCTGTGCCCACCTCCTCATTTGTAAGGGAGACAGAGGAATATTCTGCAGATGGACAGAAGGTTCAAGGCTCCACCACTTGTCCATCCAGAGAAAGTCCAAAGGGAGTTGCCGCAGTGTCAAATGCAATAGAGAAAACCAGAAACCAGAGTCCTTTCAAGGAGGAAATCATATGATGACATGGCAAAAGGCAGCTTTAGTGCGAGGTGACTGTTCTCTGCCCACCTTTCTTTGGAAGGTGGAGTGGTGGGGAGGCAAGTGGACTAGCTCTTAGAAGCCACTAAGTGAGGGGCTGGCACTGTGGCACGGCGTGTTAAACCACTGGATGAGATGCTGATATCCCATTTGAGTACTGGTTCAAGTCCTGGCTTCTTCAGTTCCAATCTCCTGACTAATGTGCCCGGGAAGCTGCAGGAGATGGCCCACGTGCTTGGGCCTCTGCCATCTGGAAGATCTCTCAATCTCTCTCTTCCTGTAACTCTGCCTTTCAAATACAATTTTTTTAAAAAACCCAGAAGGGACAAGAAATGCTTGAACATTTTTGTTTCATTCAGTTGCTAATTAAGCAACATTATATAATAGTAAATTGAGTATGCTCAGTACTAATTAAATCAGCAAAGAAAAACCAGCCCTGCATTTCCCTCCATGTCCCTGAACCACAGCTTCTTGCCGTGGGGAGAGGACCTTCTAGAAGGGGATGAAAAGCCCTCCCTGTGCTAATGAGCAAGGCATGGGAGACGTGCTTAAGCCTGCCCGTGCTGTCCACTTTGCCAGCCGTTGGTGGCCAAGCCACAGACGGGATCTCTCCCCTCTTTTAATTCCCCTGGGTCAGCAGCTGCAGGGACCATGTCCCATGTCACCTGCAGAGCATGGACTCAGGACGACTCATCTGCTGGAAACCAGTTCTAGCGACTGAGTATCCATAGTCAGACCCAAGGACCTTAGCGAGGAGCAGGTGTGAGCCGCCCTGGCCTTGGGGCCCTGTGAGAACCCTTGGTAGTGGCAGAGGGGCCTGCTGAACCTCACATCACCTCCTCTGTTCTTCTCTTTCCAGGGAGGAGTCACGCCATCTTCCTCGGTGAGTACAGGGGCTGGGAAACCATGGCTGAACAGAGTTGGGGCCGGATATGGCCGGTGGGCAGGGGACAGCACACTGCCCTGTCTGACTGTCTCCTGCTTGGGCCTGTAGGCTTCGCGGGTGCAACCTGGCTTGCTGCAGTGGATGAAGTTTTGGTAGGTGAGTGTCAGCGCCATCTGCCCGGTGGGCGGGGCTGGATCCTGGCATTTCCTTAACCTTCAGAGCCACTCAAGGTCAGGTTGGCTTGGAGTGGATGTTCAAAGGGACCGAGAAGGAGGAGACCCCAGTTTGGGATGATGGCGGAGGATACTTGGGAGCCACCTTATGGGCAAAGGGCTGAGAAGCAGTGGGGCTGCGGGGCGAGTGGGAGACTGAGGTGCTAGGTGGAGGGCAGGCAGACAGATCTGGCAGAGTACACAGCTTGTTCTGGGGAGGAATCCAAGCAGGGCAAGCAGGAAAGCAAAAGGGTTGCTGGGACCTTGGAGCTGGATGTGAGGGTGTCCAGGCTTGGCCGACTTAGCAGGTGCCATGTTCTGCCATTTGATCTCCTTTCAGAGAATTCCTTCCCATCAATACTGAGGCCCTGGCAACTACTGTCCGGCGAGGAGACAGATCTCCAGTCCACACTGGCCCTGCCCGGGGCACTGGCATCCCATTGGCTGTGCTGGGCACCTGGCTATTCTGTTGCTCCATTCTTCCCACTCCAGATGGTGTCGCCACCTGACACCTTCTTCGATAAGCCACCTGTCTTCACCTGCTCCGTTCTGTGACCTGAAGTCGCCGTGACAATTCTGCAAGAGGCCTTTTCTACTTTTGAGTTCGCTGTAGAAATAAAACCTGGTTCCTGCTTCCGTATGACTTTGTCCAAGTTTATTTTTTCATGCTGCACCTTGCTGGCCTGGACCAGGGAGGAAGAGAGGAGGATTTAGTGGTATGCAATTAAGGAAGGGTATGTGTGTGTGTGTGGGTACTGAGAGAGAGGAAACCTGGCTCTCAGCCAGTCCTGACCAGCAGCCATGAGTGGATGGCACCGTGCCTCAGTTTCCTCATTTAGGACTTATTTTGTGGAGGCTACCTCTGAATACTGTGCCTTGTGCGCTCAAGGTCATCACAGGTGTTTTGGCAGCCTGAAAAAAAAAAAAAAACAACAGAAACCGCTCATATCGGATTGTGACAGCGAAGAGGTTGTTAGAACGAGCCCATCAGTCCCTGGGGGCCAAGGAGAAGATGGAGGGAAGCAGGAGCACTGGAGTGGGAGAAGGGGCCCCAGGCTGTGGGAATCAGCTGAAATGTGGGTGGGTGAGGAGCGCGGCTGTGCCGATGTGGACAGGAAGCTGGGGTGGGCTCTTTTGCTGCTGCTCTGTGTTACCTGGATGTAGAGTGAGTGAGACAAGAGTGTCTGCGTTACTGACATAACCCATGAGGGATGCAGGGGTTCCCAGGGTGCTCACACGCTGAGGAGCCCTCGGATCGGGCCAAGAGTCCGAGTTAGAGTCTCAGGCCCAGCAAGCTGGTAGAGCGTGCCCACATTCAGGTGCCCTCCCCACTGCCATCCACCCAGGGATATAAAATGAGGACGTGATGTAGCACCATGACAGCCTAAGGATGCCTTTTCAGAATGCGGGCTCCCTGAGGCTGCGACCCCTGGCCACCTCCGGCACTGATCTAGCCCCAGGCTTAGGAGAGGGCTCCTCAGGGTTTGACAAGTCAATGAGAGAAGCCAAAGTGATCAAACCTACAAGCTGGAAGCCTAGGGCTGGGGATGGCTCCTGGTTTGTTTCTTGATCTGGCTCAGCTCTGGAGAAAGATCTTGCAGTAACCTGTCGCGGCCACATGGAGGCACTCGCGGGGCTGCCTTGTGATGAGAATTCCAGCTGCTGACTGCTGGCCAGCTCCTCCGTGGGCACGTTTGGGTGTGAGGAGGTGGGAGAGTGAGGGGGAGTGAGAAGGTGTGTGTGTATGGGGGGGGGTGGCGACTAGAAAGGTGGGAGAGGGGTTGGCAGGCTAACTCTGTCCCTTGTGGACCCCTGCTACCCTCTTGGAGTCTGAATTGCCATTTTGTCTCCCTATGACCAACCATCTCCCCTCTGACAGCCAGGGCAAAAGCCCTGCTCACATCCTTCCACACCCTCTCAGCAGCCCTCCACAGAACCCCAGCTCCTCCTGGGGGCTCTGTGCCCTCGCCACAGTCATCGAGGACCTGCTAGGAAAGGCACTCAGGGGACAACCCTGGCCCTACACCTCAGGATCTTCAAGTTCTTCCAGATCTAAATTCTGCCGCCCCTCTCGGTCACCAAAGGACCTGCCCGGTTACCCTCTCAGCGCCTGTCACTCTGAAGTTACCGTGCCTGCATATGCATGCTTCATTCATCAGGATCTGCCTCAACTCCGCAGGGCAGGCGCCCCCGTCTGGAATTCCCAGCAGCAGTTGCCACACTGACTGCCTCCCCAAGACTATCTACATGGCAGGAGGGATGAGCGTTAATTCAGACGTCTTCCTGGGGAGAAGTGCAAGCCAAGTGCCCACCGCGCAGGTGGCAGAGGAAGAACCCAGACCTGCTCTCCTTGGCAGAGAGAGGAAGCGATGGGACAGATTGCCTTGAATTCTTTCCCTTCACGTCCCGCACGCAGCCCCCTTTCTCTACAGTATTCTAGGCTTTTTCACTTAAGCATCTACCAAGGCCCGAGGACCCGGTGCTCATTCTTTCAACCCCTCATTCTTCCCTATAATTTCACGGCGCTGGTGCCCAACCCCTAGGTGTGACTGTTGTGTAGCAATCAGGGCTGGGCCTTACCCACACTCATATTCTGGCACATTTGGGGTGACGTAGGGGCAGGCCTGTGGGAAAGCTGGAGTTTGTATTCTTAAACAGGGAGCACAACCATCCAGATGTGGGGTGTCGTACAGCCAGTCTCAGCTCCCACCTGACTCCCTGGCCTCTGGGTGGACTCCCCTGCCACCTGCCTGACTGGCTGTGACCTCCCAGTGAGAGCTTCTCCACCTCCACCTCCCCGCCACCTGCCAAAACACCTGCCTTTGAACCATCAGGAAGCACGGACTGTCCGAGGCAGTGTGGGGCTGGGAAGGAGTGCGGAGAGATGGCAACTTCAAAAGTTAGTGCTGACCACAAGAATCACCCAAGATGAGGTGACCCCTGGAAGAAGTCTGCTAGGAAAGAGCCAAATGGAATTAAACCACAAATTCAGCCCAGCCAGTATCTTTTTCCTGTATAGAAACAGAATTTGTCTGGCTTCATCTATGGTGTGTTTGACTTGCATTCAGAGGTATTAAACAGACGTGCCTGCCTTCAACTCCTAGAATGTATGCACGAGAACACTGGAGCACACACCTGGGTGTGATGAGATGCTGGGCTGTAGGAGGGACTGGAAAGGAGGGGCAGTCGCAGACTCATTTTTTTTTTTTAAGATTTATTTATTTTCATTGGAAAGGCAGATGTACAGAGAGGAGGAGAGACAGAGAGGAAGATCTTCTGTCGGATGATTCACTCCCCAAGTGGCTGCAACAGCCGGTACTGAGCCAATCCGAAGCCAGGAGTCAGGAACTTCTTTCTGGGTCTCCCACGCGTGTACAGGGTCCCAAAGCTTTGGGCTGGAGCTGCCAGGATTAGAACCAGTGCCCATATGGAATCCCGGTGTGTTCAAGGCGAGGACCTTAATTGCTGCGCTATCGCGCCAGGCTCATTCTTGGGGCATATATGCACCCAGAGCCTTCAACCTCAGGGTTCTTTGGTTTTGTCCCTCTGAGAGGCTCTGAGCTCATCCGAATTCGTGGACACACATGTGCAGCTGCCCTCTGAGCCAGGGTAGGCTGCACAGTGCCACAGGACACCTGATCACAGAGGCTGGTGGGGTCTGGCCCCCGCAGTCAAACCCTGAGTCCAGTTCACACAAGGTGCTGGACGAGCTGTCTCCACAGCAGAGACAAGGAACAAAACAGGTTCAGGCTCTGGAATCCTGGGGTTCTGGTGGTGTCCCTGCTGCCCACCGGTGGGGTGACCCTGGGTAGGTGCTTTAGCCTCCCTGTGTGCTGTGGTTCCCCTGCCCACAGTTGGTGGATACTTCTAGTACCCACGTGCAGAGTCACTGTGCTATTGCAACAAGATCATGCATTGAGAGCACCTGGCACAAGGTGTGCCACATTGCAAGCTCCCAATAAATTGGCTAACGTTATTATCAGTACCACTGGGTGGAAAGAAAAACACGGAGGTCAATATGTTATAAAAGACCAATCACAGGGAAATTGGAGAGCCAAAGAGATGTCAGAGTTTGGGTTATGTAATGCTGCATTCCCTCAGCCAGAAATGGACACTGGCTCCCTCCCTTGGCATGTCTCCATGGGAGCTGATTACATAACATTGGTTCCCCTCCATCTTATTCTTGGTTCTCTCCACCCCATAATTGATATCCCACGCTGATTCCATCATGGTCAATGAGCTGTTTCATTCATTGCTCATTAATTGGTAAGAATTCATTGCACACAGAAATTTGTGGCCTACAGAAAACCTTTTGGGAGATGTTCTATCCACCTCGTCCTTTTCTTAGTTGTAACCCTCTGCAATAGTAGTACCACTGACCCATGGTTGGCCACCTGTGCCCTTTGAGTGTTCCTCAAGTGCAGTCCCCACAAACAGTTCTGCAAAGGGGGGAAATGCCATCACAAACACAGCGAGGCTTTCTGAGGCTACAGAAGGGCAGGGTGGGCGTAGGAAAGGAACAGTGTGGACTGAAGTGCCCAGTCCTGAGGGGTCCCTCATCAGATGACTCATAAATGGCACCTGGCAGTCCCACTTGCCATCCAGGTGTCCTGTATCAGGTTGGGGCAGAGAGGCCCACTTTTCAATAAGGTCTGCTTTGCCATGGCAGAACCTGCTATGTGCCAGCATCTCCCAATTACGCCAGAAACTGGTTGGGCCACCTGAAGCTCATTGTGGAGCAGGTTGCTTCATGAAAGTGTTTCGTCACTTGGAGGTGCTCTAACTCCCAAGCGAGGGGTGGAGTGAGAAGTGGGATAAGCCCAAATGAAATGCAGTGGGCTAAGTTTAGGATCTCCTCCCAGTGGCTAGCTCTAAGACCTGTTCTTTTTTGTGTTTTTGATTTTTGGTTTCATATTCCCTGTCTCAGCTCAAGACAATCACCTGTTAGAAGACCCACGAGTAAAAGACAGAGGGATGGCTACTGGGAGGGGCAAAACCCCACAAAAGAAAGGGCTCCACTATTTCGAAAGATGCTTGTGTATAGCACAATTCCAGCACAGCCCACCTACATTTTCAGTAAGCACCACGCTAAGGGAATAGAAAAGTGACTAAGATACAGTTCTTAAGTTCAACATGCTTCATATTCTAAGTAGAACTGATATTAAAATTGACATGCTAAGAGAGAAACATACATTAACCCAGGCACAATGCCAGATTCAAATGAACTGATATGACAATTCTGAGAAATGATGGATGAGTGTGTGGAAGCGGAGGTGGTGGTATGCAGCTGGGAGATGGTGGGAGGCATCGAGAAGCTCTGATCAGGGACGTTGGGTCCTGAGAAGGGTGTATTAGTAAGAAGGTATGGGCCTAGTACATGGCTTAATGGCTGAATCCTCACCTTGCAAGCGCTGAGATCCCATGTGGGTGCTGGTTCATGTCCCATTCAGCTCCTGCTTGTGGCCTGGGAAAGAAGCAGATGATGTTCTAAAGCCTTGGGACCCTGCACCCATGTGGGAGACCCAGAAGAGGCTCCTGGCTTTGGATCAGCTCTGCTCCAGCAGTTGCAGCCGTTCAGGGAGTGAACCAGCGGATACAAGATCTTTCTCTTTGTCTCTCCTTCTATCTGTAAATCTAATTTGTCTTTCCAATAAAAATAAACAAAATATATATTTTTTTAAAAAAAACAATAAATACTATGACTAGGAGCCTGGAGGAAAGAAAAACAAGGTGTGTTTGATAAAGTGTCCAGTTTGGCCAGAAGGTGAAGGTATGTATAAAGTGTGTAAAAGAAGGCAAAGTTAGAAAGGCAGGGAGAGAATCCCGGGCAGGGAAGGCCTCCGAGGCAGTCTGAAGAGTGTAGACAGAGGTTATCGGCACGGAGGAGGGGAGGGAATCTGAATTAGAAGAGAGGAATGAGGCATTAGAGGAAGAGACCAAGGAGCGGCTGCTTGGGTGACACTGCCAACCCAGGGACAGGTCCAACCTGTCTGCAGGCCTCCCCATTTGCATGAACAAACCCATCGCGGTGTCCCCTCCAAGGGCCTGAGGCGCAACGTGAATTGAGAAATCCAAGGCAGAGGGGGACTGGTCCATGCCTCTCCCTTCCAGGGCCCCAGGGGTGGGCGACAGCATCTGGGCGTGAGTCACCCGGGTGGGGACCCCATTTCTGCTTGGGAATATAAAGGGCAAGTTCGTCAGGCCCCGCCTCAGAGCACCCCAAACTTGACACCATGAAGATCCCAGTCCTTCCTGCTGCGGTTCTTCTCTCCCTCCTGGCGCTCCACTCTGCCCAGGGGGCTGCCCTGGGGAGTTCGGAGGTGAGCAGGTCACCCGTGGGGTTCTCAGCTACCTATTTTCCATCTGCCTGCCAGGTTCTCGGCTTCTATCCTTTCTGGATTAGTGGCTCAAATCTGTGGACAGGTGGCAGGGACTGCAAGTGAAGCTGGGGTCCCAAGGAAGGGTAGAGTGGGGGAGGGGAGCAGAGCACCTCTGGGAAGACATTAGGGGCAACGATGCTTGCTGTTTTGGAAGGGACAGTCAAGCATGGAGGTGATGGCTAATGTACTGACTCCTGAGAGGAGAGGGGACCAAACTGGGTCATCTGGGGGCAGCTTAACCTTACCCGCTTTGTAGCCCTGAGAAAAATTTCCAGGGGAACCCAAAGTTTCCTGTTCTCCCGGGAGCCTAGGCCACAGCAAGGATCCTTTCCACCTGGTTCCCCAGCCGGAGCAGACCCAGGGGGCCCCTGCAGCCCCTTCCTGCCCCGGAGTGCGGGGAAGGGTGTCTAGTCTGTATTGAAAAGCCTAAGACAAGGGTTCCCGACTCAACTGCTGAGAACCCAAGCAAGCAAACAAGCAGTGGCAGTGAAGGGGGAGTTGCTGGGGGAGCCTTAGCTGAAGCAGGGGTGAACCTGCTCTTCGGAAGGGGGTGCCCTTTACTCCACTTGACTGCTGTTACAGGCTGTAGGAAAACATAGCCCAACATGGCCAGAGTTTTAAATCATTAGGGAGAAATCGGAAATTCGTATTATTTCTTACTAATCCAGAATGCTTACCTCAACTTCAACAAAAAACATATCAACTGCTCTGCAAGCCAAGGGTCAGGATCGAGCTGTGTGTGACCTCTGCTGAGGGCAAGAGTAGGGCAGTTGACGGGGAAGTGCCACCCTTGGTGGCTGGGCATCCCCAGAGCAGACCAACCTCAATCAGCCTGGCTCCCACCTGCATGGTAATCCCCCCACTCCACCTTCAAGGGCCAAGCATGGGCGCCTTGGAACACCCTAAGTCAATTCAAGTGCAGAGCCAGACAACTGCACTTTCTGGGGAGGCGGCCTGTCTTGTCCACCCCTGCAACCCTCTGCCCACATGGATGCAAGCTGGGGTTCCAACATCTCTGTCTCACACGTGGGACTGGACTGCCATCCTGCTGTCCCTCTCCCTATGCGTCGGTGACAGCATGCCTTATTAAAAGAGAGAGGCCCCCTCATGGTGCACGCTGGGTGGTAGGCCAGCAGGGGAAGGCAGAGCTGTCAGAGAGGGGCAGGGCAGAGGGACCTGCCACCATCCTTGGTCTCCTTTCTCTCCCCTCCTTACAGGAAGAAACCACCATCGGCAATTATGCGGCAGGAGCTCAGGTAAGTGGTAAGTTTAGTTTTCTAGTACATCCTAGTTCATTTGGCCCCTCTCTCTGCACTGCCTGCAGGTGTCTTAACACCCTGTTTTTCTTTGTGTGTGTGTGTGTGTGCCCAGGCCTTTCACACTCCATTCCTGAACATCGACAAGTTACGCACTGTAAGTACAACCCTTTGGGGACTGCGCCCTCTCCCCGTGGATGGGCGCACGGACCCAGGGTCCAAGCACCGGAGAAGAACACTTGTGAAGCTGTCATGCCCTTTTGCAGAGGGCTGGGCTCAGCCTCGACTTTCCTGGGAACTGACTTACCTCTGGTTCCTCTTTTTTTTCCCTCAGGCTTTTAAGACGGATGAATTCCTGAACTGGCATGCCCTCTTTGAGGTAGGAGCTGGGGTGCCTTCTCTTTGGGGTCTGCTGCCTTCAGGGTCGTGGTAGCACGTTCTCACGTTAGAAACCACGAACAACCATTTGGCGGTTGTTGTGAAGTTTCCAGGCGGGGGGGGGGGGGGGGCGGGGGGAGGCTGCCCTGCCTGGATGCTGCTCAATTTATTATCAAAGTCTCCCTACATGGCAGTCACTAACTGCACTTTATTTGCTTTACTTGCTAGCTGGGCCAAGAGATGTTTCCAGAAGGGGAACAAGTCAGTATTTTACTTGAATTTCCCCATCCTTTCTAGATAAATTCTTACCCCATGAAGAGTGAGGTCCCCAAACTTATAAGCCAAGTCAGTGACAGAGCATGCTCCTGGAGCTTCCATCTCAGACTCTGCCCTCACTCTACTGGACCACACACAAATAGCGTTGCTTCCCGGGGCTCAGTTTCCTTACTTGTACTGTGAGAGTGAGGACAGCCCAGCTTGTCCTTTTCATTCCTCGGAAGGATTCCGTGATGACCACATGCAATCATGCCCCTGGGCAGGAAGGACAAGGCAGACTCAGGCCTCAGGAGACATTTACTAGGCTCACTGGACCGACAACACAGCACTCTCCTTCTCTCTTTTCCCCTTAGTCTATCAAAAGGAAACTTCCATTCCTGAACTGGGATGCCTTTCCTAAGGTAAGAGGAGGTGGGCATTGTAAGGGAAGAAGCCAAGGGTCTGGCGGAGAGGCGAGGTAGTGGAAGGAGGATGAGGTTGGTTAACTTTCCACATGACCTCATGCTTCTCTCCAAAGCCAAGGCGAAACTCAGCTGCTGTCTATACAGAGTGGGAACTCGGGCTATCAGCACACCATGCCTCCTTGGGGGACTCTAGTCCCTGGAGGAGCCCTGTTTAACCTTGTCTCCTCTCCCTGCAGCTGAAAGGAATGAGAAGCGCAGCTCCGGATTCTCAGTAACCACTCCCTCCGAGACCTAGGACTGCTGAACCCCAGTGGAAGACGGGGGCGCTGGTATGGGCTCTGCTCTCACCGGATGAAAATTCTTGCCTGGCTCAACAGCTCCAATAAAATGGTCTCTGTCCAAACAGCTCCTGCATCTGTCTCTGTCCTTATCCTACTGAACTCTAAAAAGGAATGGGATGGGCTCCAAGGCTGACAGGCAGAAATCTTGAATTTGGGAAGGAGAATAAGCGGAGGGATGGGAAGAAACAGGAAGGATATACCGAGATGGCAAAAGACCTCCACATCTTAGCTTTTCAGGACTGGCTGACTTCTTGAGGAGAATGAAGCTATGCCCAAGAAATCACACTTCTTCCTCCCTGACCTGCTAGAACCCTCCTCTGACCTGCCTTTTGAAAACTTGATTCCTTTTTTTGTGACCATTTTCACACAACAGAGCTATCCGGAATCCACGGTTCAGATGCAGATGAAATCATGTGAGCCCATCCAAAATCCTTTCTTTTCTTTTTGTTTAATTAGGTAGGCTATAACAAAGGGTCGGTGACGCAACCCTGTCCTTTCTCAGCCCTTGCTTTTTCATCTGTGAAATGAGTATGTAAATAAATGAGTACAGTAATACTTACCTTGTGGTGTCATTATGAAGGTCAAATAAGATAGGGAAAGCCACTTGCACAGGGTCAACTATACAGAAGACACTCAACAGTTGTTTGTTCTTTCCACTGTTCCGGTGATCACATGGCTGCTATGATGACTTGGGGTCATTCATTCACCCACTCACCTAAATCTACTGGTCCATCCATCCATCCGCCAACTGCAAGGACACAGGAACATGGGATGGACCCAGTTCTGGGTTCTGCTGATGTATTCTACATAGCCTGCTCCACATACTTAAAATGCTGAATTAGTTGGGCTTATCTCTGGTTTCTCTTGAAAAACAAGAAAATTGCAGAGTAATGGGCTCTGATTGGCATAAAGAGAAGTAGTTGCTGCTTTCTTTATAAAAGGCATGGCTTCCAATGCAACTAAGTGTAAATGGCCTTTTGTAGTTGGAAGTTTTATTTCTTCAAAGGGAGGGAGGGAGGGAAGGAGAGAGAGAGAAAGAGGGAAAGAAAGAAAAAGGGAGAGAGAGATTTTCCATCTGCTGGTTCAGTCTCTAAACACTCGCATCAGCTGAGGCTGAACCAGGCCGAGGTCAGGAGCCAGGATGTCCACGTTGGTTCCCCACACAAGTGGCAGAACCCCAAGCATTTGGTCCATTATCTTCTGCCTGCCAGCTGCTTCATCAGGAAGCTGTAGAGGAAGCAGAAGCAAGACTAGATCTAGGTACTCTGATTAGGGTTGTGGGTGTCCCAAGTGGCAACTTGACCTACCACACCACAACACCCACCCTTCTATTACCTTTGGGCCGTTATAATCAACTGCTTTTGTAAACTATGACCCGAAGCTTCATGGAGGAAGTGGACTGTAAGAGGGATGAAATTGGCCCCCACATTTAAGGAACTTGCAGACTAGATACAGAGGACCTGTTAGTATTTATATTCTTCCTTCTGGTTAAGTAACATTAAAACACACGATGGTGAGTGACATGCTGAATGAAGTGACCAACAGAGAAGAACAAAGGGTGCCATCATCAGTTAAAACATCCATCAAAGATAGAGCACTCACAGATTGGGTGACAGGAAATGGAGGAGAGGAAGAAGGGGGTGAGGTCTGGATGATGCTTGCTGACTCAGCAGGTTTTAGGGGCGCACTGGAGACTCCACAGAAGACGAAGGGTCATGCATTAAGTTAAGAGCATCTCTGAGATACAACAGTCATTTTCACAGTGTGGTCCTGGGCCGACAGCATCAGCACCACCTGCAACTCAGAAGGATCACAAATTCTTGGATCCTATTCCAGACCTACTAAATCAGAAACTGTGGTTGGGACCCAGCAATCTGCATTTGTTTGTGGTTTAATGACAGCGACAGAGGGGCCAATCCAGGGAAAAGAAAGAGAATGCTCCCACTTGTGCCAACTCCCCATGATGGCTGCAAATGGCCAAGACTGGGTTGGTTAGTCCAAAGGCAGGAGCCAGGAACTCAATCCAGGCTCCCCAACTACTGGAGCCATCACCTTCTGCTTCCCAGGGTCCGCATCAGCAGGAAGCTGGAATGGGGGCTGTCGGAATACTTCCAACAGGATAGTTGGGACAGCAGAGGCCTGTGGTATCTTGTTGAGAAGAGGTTCCAGAAAAGAGGATGGGGAAGGGCAGAGTGCACTCTTGCCCCCAGTGAGTCCTTGGATGTGCTTTTGTGCTTCCCTGATACATGGCAGACATCTGTTTTCTAGTTAACCAATTATCTTCGATCAAAGCAGTGCTCCTTATCAATGTCTCACACCAATAGTGCTTTGACCCTGGTGCCTTGGTAGCTCTCCTAGAACTCCCTGCTTGTACACGTGTGACACGAGTTGTATAGCAAACCTGGGGATTGTAACCGATGTCTGAGCTGAACTGAATGTTTGAGGTGTTTCTTTGCTGAATGCATGTAAACTGGTACCCTGGAAATAAACTCAGCCAGTTGCCTAAGAAAGCAGTGCCTCCTCTTTCTTTTTGGTTGCATCTCTTCCCTAGGAATCCACAAGGCAAACATGCAGGAGTAAAATCCAGGAACTCTGGTACTGGAAGCTGATGCCTTTGACTTAATGCCTGCCCAGGCCATCTGTTTTAACAAGACCCCCTTGAGGAGTCTGATGCATTTGAGACTGAGAATCACTGAGAGAAGGAACAGCTAGAAAATGCAGGAAAGAATATCTCCCTTAGGGAAAGGGAGCCCCGATAGAGTACACATGATGGGTGAGGAGGCAGACGGCATCCACCTGCAGTGTTCCATATTCTTAACACCACTGGGCTTCTCTATGAGGCTTCTGTATCCATGGAGTAAGTATGATACAGCTTGAAAGTATCTGGAAACAAAACTGGGTCTGTACCATTTACATACCATTTACATTGTATTAAGTATTTTAAATAATCTAGGGATGATTCAAAGTACGTGGGAGGCTGTGCACAAATGATAGGGACATACTATGCCATTGTACATAAGGGACTTGCGTGTCTGTAGATTTTGGTATCTGTAGGGAGGCAGACTCTGAGGGTCACCTATACATGCAATTTGTACACACTTATATGTGATGCATTTCACAATCATTTATTATTTAAACATGAGAAAATTTAACTTCGTAGTGCCAAAAGAACACAGGGTAAACAGGATCTAAGAAAACTGGAATCTGAAAAAATAAGTACAAATATACTATGTGATGGGGTCTGACAACGTGGTATTGCTTGCTAAGCTTCTGCCTGTGCTGTCAGCATCCTACATGGGCCCTGGATCGAGTCCTGGCTGCTCTGCTTCTGATCCAACTCCCTGCTAATGCACCTGGGAAAGCAGCTGAGGATGGCCCAAAGCCTTGAGACCCTGCACCTACGCAACGTGGGAGACCCGGAGGATCCTGGTTTTGGATCGGCTCACCTCCAGGTGCTGTGGTCATTTGGGCAGTGAATTAGTGCAGGTGGAAGGGCTGCCTCTCTCATTCTCTCTGTAATCCTGCCTTTCAACCAAACAAACAGATAAATCTAAAAAAAAATACAATGTGAATAAATGCCAGGTGCTTGCTGGATCAAATGAAACCAAGAAAAAAGCACTGGCATGGGTCAGGCAGTTCAGAAGATTCAAATTAAAAATGCAAAGCAAGAACAGGGAAACATAGATTGAGGAAGAAGTGAAGCATTGGACATCCTCCTCTGGATGCTCTCGAAACCAGAGACACAGGCAGCTTGCGCGCCTACTACACCACAGGCGAGCAGGACCTAGACTGTGCGGAACGGTCGCTGAGCTATAACCAAAGGCAGCAAAGTGGCAGAGAAGTATGTCACCAAGTAGTTAACACATAATGGAGTATGTGCTGTGGAGGGACATTCCAGGCACTTTGCGGCCTGAAGAAAAACCCTGATCGAGAGTGGTGCAGACTCCCCAGCTCTGGTCAGAAAGGCAAATTATCCAACTGGGGAAGCTGCTGGGCCAAAGCTCGCCCTGGGCATAAAGAAGCTGTCACTACCAGTACAGTGGGGAGGGGCAGCACTCAGCTGCTGGCTCGCCCTTGCAGCAGGTGTGATACATCCAACTCTGCTCACTCCTGCCCAAAGCCTTGGGACCCTGCACTCACATGGGAGACCTGGAGCAGGCTCCTGGCTTCGGATCGGCTCGGCTCTGGCCATTGTGGCTGCTTGGAGAGTCAATCATCAGATTGAAGCTCTTCCTCACTGTCTCCTTCTCTCTGTATATCTGACTTTGCAATAAAAAATAAACAAACCTTTCTCTTTTTCTTCTTTCTTTAAAATAAATCTTTAAAAAGAGAATCTAGGTTAAAACAAGGGAATAAAAATGAAGATGTATTCACTGATGTCAATATTAAAATTAGATAAGGACAAAATGCCACAGAGGGAGATTTATCTTTTGTAAGACTGCCTGACAACAATGGACACAAAACATTCTGACCGAATTACACTGTGCCACGAGGGATCTCATTAAAAAAAAAAAAAAAGAAAAGCTGAGTAGTTTAGAAAACCTGGACGCTGTCATCCAAGGTTGGTTGATGGGTAAGAGCAGCAGCCACCTGTGAGGTACTGTAGGGTTCAGACAAGTTCACTCAAGCTCTGTTCCACTTCCGGCCTGAGAACTCTCCTGAATAACATCTTCCTCCCAGTAACAAACTGTCCTCCAAAAATAAATGGCCCAGGTCGCCTGGCCTGGGTCTTTGGGCCTGCCTGTGCAGTGGGTACCAAGTCTGAGAGCTGCGGGGAGAGGGTGGTGGTGGTGGTGGTGGTGGTCTGGCAGGGCCTGGGGAGTCTGGTCTGGGTCCTTGTCCTTACCTGTGAAAACTCGTCCTCCTCATTGGAAAAGACAGAGCAGCAGACAGCAGGCCCGGACACACATGGAGGACATGGCAGCACACTGGAG